CTGGGGTGTTTTAGCAGGGATGCATCTAAAAGTTGCAGTCTGAAGGACTGCAGCTGGGCACTCCTGATTTGTACCGTCAATGTGGCCCTTTGAGGGTGGCCAATATGCTGAAGTGGCCCTCGGTGAAATTGAGTTTGACACCCCTGTTTTAGGCTATAAAATATGTGGGAACACCAGCTATCACAGCTTAAATGTGACAATATTGTTTTACCACTACTTACAGAAATGGCCGCGAATAACCCGCACTAGAATATTTAGCCATTTCACTGACTCACTTGCTTTGGATGCAGATGCGGGTTTTCTTCCCTTGGCTTTCTATCCACACAATGAAATGCGCACACATAAAGCATTTTGGATTCTCTGTTTAACTTTAGAATTTTTAGCCATATTCTTTTTGTTTCCTTATCTGTCGGTAGGCGATGAAAACTACTGTCTTTGTTTTGGGCGCAAGTTCAAAACACTCTTGCTGCAGCCACAAATTAAACTTGGTCTGATTATTAGAGTACAGCTACGAACAGCACAACAGTTACCCGAGCTCCGAAAAGGCAGACACTTTCCAGTGGCAAGTTGCTCTCCATAACAGGTTAATGTGTGATTCGATTCGGATCTAGTCCAGTGGGGAGAGATTATCCGTATTATCCGCTGATTTGCAGCAACACTCAGCAACGGAGAACCTTGATATTCTGGTTGTGATGGACTAAATGAAGCCAGATATTTTATTTTGTCCTATAAAAAATGTTCCTGGCCCAAATATAATGATAAAGACACAGCTCATGAACTTTATTTTTAAAATACAAACGAAAAATAAAATTCACATCACACCAAGCTAATGTTATGTAGTTCTGGTGTTTTATGTCATCAGTTCTTCAGAGAAACGAGCTGTTAGCAGCGCTGCTAAGTCACGGTCATTCCGTTACAAAGCTTAACGCTGTGTTCCTGTTGCTCCCCGTGATTAAACTCACAATTACGATCCTCTGTACTGAGCAGCTCTCTGATAGCAGACGGTGTGTCCGTGAACAGGTTTAACTAAATATTGTATTATAACTGAAAAGAGAGATTTAACTTCTATCATGAATATAGATTAGCAACAAACCCTACAAATTACAGTGAAATACTGCTACTTCCGGTGGGCGCCGGAAGTAAGACCCATAATCGTTTCCCCCGTAAGCCTCACAGGAATAAGGTGGATAGACTTTAAAATTGTCGTTAGTCGAGAGGTTCCCAAACTGTGGGGCACGCCCCCTAGGGGGGGGCGCCGTGTCATTGCAGGGGGGCGCGGGAAGCTGTCTGGATGAAAAAAAAAAAAAAAAAACATGAATGCAGTATGCGCTGGGTTTTTACCTTAGAATGGACAGCTCTCTGTTATTCCTCTGTCAATTTGATACAGTAGGGGCTTCTGCACTTCCCATATCTGTGTTCTCTGTCACTTTTATCAGCAGTTAAAACTGGTTAATCCGTTGTTAACATGTCGTAAACTGTTTTTCCGAGATACCTTTAAACGCAACATGAGTGCTACGACGCCCGTACTGTGCGGCAGTGAAGGAGACCTGCTCAGGCGCAGAGCTATAGCGGGTACTGGGGGGCAGCCGCCCCGGCCCGGGCCCGGATGGGTGCCTGGGTCTGCAGGTGCCAGGGAGGGAGGAATGGTTTCAAGTTGCTTAAATGTCTGATTATAGAAGGAGAAAGTGTGCCCTACCTGTTCAGAAAGGTTTATTTAATGTTAAAGTTACTGTCCCTCAATGGAATATATAGTAGTCAATCCCGGTGACTCTTTCACTCACGGTTTAGCCAATGTGCTTCCTTGGTAAAAATCAAACGAAAAACGCGCTCAACAGTTTTTTGCAGTGCAAGTGATACATGTGAGGGGCCCGGTCATTGGCCCCGCCCCCCGGCCCAATGCTGACTTGTTCCGCTAGTGGACCTGCTGCTGCTGTGCAGAGCTACGCAGGTATGTTAGGATTATGGCAGCAAACCAGCAAATAGCAAAGAACTTTTCACAGTTTTTCCCCCAAACTAACAGACTGTTGAGTAAAGCTGTTGGATGCAGATAAAGTTAGCTAAAAGATGACATGGTGGGGGGTGGGGGGAATCCACCCCCACCCCCTTCGCTCACACACATCGTTCACCCAGACAGCTAGCTAATATCAGTAAAGCACCTTCAGCTTATTAACAAGTAGCTTGTAGGCTACTGGTGTTGTTGTCTGTGTTCAGCTACGATTCATTTTTGCCCCCAAAAGAGTTGATTCCCCCCCTTGTTAGTCTGGAGCCGGGACTGAGTATAACAGGGAGTCTCCAAGAATCCACCCCCCACCCCCTTCTCTCACACACATCGTTCAACCAGACAGCTATTTGTAAGCCATAGGGGGGGCCCAGAAATAGTTTGGAAACCACTGGGGGGGCCTAGGAGAAAAAGTTTGGGAATCACTGTGTTAGTCTATAAATCACTTAACGGCTTAGCACCACAATACATTAAAGATCTCCTGTTGCATATCTTTAATTTCTTCCTCCTAAATGGATGGCTGCTCCCTTCTTCCCTCAGTCTGTAACCATAACAACCAGTTCTTTAAAAGCAGTGGTCCCCAAACTACGGCCCGCGGGCCGGATCCAGCCCGCCTCCACATTTGGTCCGGCCCCCTGAACAATACCAGAGAGCATTGAGATTTTTTTTTTTTTCATTTACCGTATTTTCCGGACTATAAGCCGTTTTATATGTGGATTTTTATTCAACCACCATGGGGCTCTTTAGCAGGAAGTGAATCATTGGTTACTTGCGCGCCAACACTGAGCCCACACGCAGTAAAATGAGTAAGAAACAGATCAGATGTCTTTGGAAAGGAGAAAAGGCCCAGAGAAGAGACAGGAGAATGGATTTATCCCGGACCGGTAGGTGACTCCCACATTACAAGCCCGCTCTGTGTAACATGCGGCGATGAAGCTTCAAGCTGCTTTGCCACATAGAGACCAAGCACGCTGTGCTCAAGCAACACAGCTCGGGTGTTATTGTCTCCCATCACTCCCTGATGTCTCGTTGCAGAGAAACAAGCTCAGGGCTCCCGTTAGTCATTATCGTGAGTTAAAATTTTCAAGAAAGTAAAATGTTCGTTTTTGTGGCGCATCTTTATCTTATTTTGAAGGGATATGTAAACGTTACCATAGCGACCAGAGTCAGAGAGCGTTTGGGCAGTGGTCGAGAGGAGATGAGTAGAGCTTGTGAGTCTTAAGTCTGGTTTAGACGGCAAGATTTATGAATTGTCGGCCGATTCTCCAAACATCTATGATCACAGAGCTGATAAAAGTACAACAGGTTCGATCGGTTCGTGTTCAGCCACAAGGCAGGAGCAACTCGAACCGATTCCAGAGGATAATCCAGTAAAACCCCCAGCATAGCGGGAATTTAGGATAAGCAAACACGGATGACGATGTAGAAGCAATAGTGACAGTCTGTGGACTCATTTTAAGAGATAAAAGACGTAACAAAAAGAAAAGGCGGTGGATAAAAGACGACGGGAGCAGTCACTCTATTTGCTGCACTATGATTTGGAGGTGAGTTATGTTTCTTCATAGTTAACATTTTTAACTGAATAAACATAAACATATATAATAATGACCTTTACATATAATAATAAACATTTCCACATATCTCCGATATCCACCGGACTCTCAGTTGCGCCGATATGTCGGCTGTTTGAGATTCCCCTCTGTTCTTACGTCACCGCGCTTTCTGATTGGCTACCTGTCACATTCAACAGGTTGTATTCTCGTTCCCAGTCAGGGAAAACCCCCACAGGCTGCGATAAAAGGGCCAAGACAACCCAAATTGGGCATATTCAGGATTTAGTGGGAACACCAACATGCAGAAGCTTTATCTGACTTTACATCCCCCCCAATGTCTTGACCGGTCCGCGGTAATAAAAGGGCTGGGGACCACTGATTTAGCACATGCTAGTATAGTAGCAGACACGAAGGATCAGCACTTTTACTGTTACAGTTACCGTTCAGAAACTACCGTAATCAGTTCAGTTAAATCT